CACACACACCACATGTACACCACACACACACATCTCATACACAGCACACATACTCACAGGAGCGTCCCAGGGCTGGCACGAGGCATCATCTGGCCTAAAGGGGTCCATGCTGAGTGCCAATGGAGACGGGAGGGAGGGCATGGGAGCCGGGTCCTAGCGGGAGCAGACAGCTGGGAGCATGTCTGAGACTGAGGGGGAGGGGCCTTGGGAGTCACCAGAGGCCTCGGATCAGGGGTCAAGTGCCCCCCACTCAGAGTCTGGGAGAGGGAGTGGGTTCTGGGTGCCCCCCTCTCCGGGAGCAGGGTGGGTACAGAACCAGGATGGAATCCCAGACAAAGCATTAGTCTCCCCAAAACAGAAGTGGGAGCTGTACCCGGGGCCCAGGCTGGGGGTCCTCACAGGTACCCTCTGCTTGCCTCAGGGCATCAAGAAACCCTACAACCCCATCCTCGGGGAGACTTTCCGCTGCCGCTGGTCCCACCCGCAGACCAACAGCTACACCTTCTACATCGCAGAGCAGGCAAGAGCCCTTCTGTGCAGCGGGGGTGGGCCTGCGGAGGGCTGGGGAGGTCCCCTCTGGGGGCCCTATCTGAAAGCTTCATCCCTGACCATGTCGGTGATAGTCGACAGAACATTCCTGGTGCCCCCATGTGTGTCCGGGTAGAACTGCACTCCACAGGGCATTCCATTGCAGGGTGTGTGCCAGGCCCTTCTTCCGAGACACCTTCGGGTGGACTCAGATCAACAGTCTTTTCGTTACCAGTTGAGCACGATCACCATTTCCACCCCTGGAGGCTCCTCTGTAGGGAGAGGGCAGCTTGTCCCATTTTCCAGGGCTGGGCCTCAGGCCTGGCTTTCCTGGGCTCTGAGCCGGCTCAGTGAGTGGGGTGTGTGGGCAGCTGAGCCCTCACCTCACTGGGCCCTCCCCTCTGCCCCCGCCCCAGGTCTCCCACCACCCTCCTGTGTCCGCCTTCCACGTCAGCAACCGGAAGGATGGCTTCTGTATCAACGGCAGCATCACCGCCAGGTCCAAGTTCTATGGTGAGGGAAGGGGGGACCAGCGCTGGGAAGAGGGGACAGGACCCCAGCAAAGGAGAGAGGAAGGGGGACAGGGCTCTAAACAGAAGGGAAAGAGGGGGCTGGGAGGGGCCCACCAGGGAGAGGGGGCAGGGAGCAGGCAGAGGTGGGAAAGATGGCTAGAGTGGGGAGAAGAGAGAAGAGGGCTTAGAGGAACCCACCAGGCTGAGGGGAGAGGCCCAGCTCAGTGGTGGCCATCCTCGCAGGACCAGGAAGTGATGGAAGTGCTCGGAGTCTGTTGTCTGGCAGAGACCCTGGGGGTCAGGCAGAGCTGGGTCAAAGCCGGTCTCTTCCCCACCCCACATTCTTCCTCCATAAACCCGGGACCATTTTCGGGATGTGTAAGGATTCAAAGAGAACTTACCAAAGAGGAGCCGAGCTAGGGCTGCACTGCCCTACGTGGGAACCACCACCCTAATCACAATGTAACGTTCAGGTCCCACACATGACCACTGGCCTCCTTCCTTGATTACCCACAAGTGGGCAGAAGTTTACGTTCTTATAAAACATGCATGTCAAAAAGCAGGGTCTTGGCTGCATTGATTCCTTCTTTGCGTGTAGCCCTTGGTTTGTAGACCGTCCTCACGTGGCACGTGTCTTTGCTAAAGGGGCTCATCCGTCCCTTTACCACACTAGGTGCTTAGGGTCAGGTTCCACTCTGCCCTGGAATGGCCTCGTGAATGTAACAGGAAACCTTCCTGGATGGGACCACGTCCACAATGTGGGGACTAGGAGTCCATCTTAGCCTGCGTTCAAAACCAGTGGAGCATAAATACAAGGAGGCTTCAAAACAAGTCTGTGGAAAACTGTTTTCCATGAATGTTTTGAAGCCCACTTGTGTGTGTGTGTATGTGTGTGTGTGTGTGTAGAGATGATAGATAGATAGATAGATAGATAGATAGATAGATAGATAGATAGATAGATCATATATAGACAGACAAATAGATGATAGATAGATAATAGGTAGGTACGTAGGTAGGTAGGTAGGTAGATAGTAGATAGAGGATGGATGGATAGACAGGCAGATAATAGATAGATAGATAGATAGATAGATAGTTGCTGTTAAGTGCCATTGAGCCTGTTCCAACCCATAGCAATCCTGTATAGGATTTCCAAGGAACAACTGGTAAGCTTGAACCACCAACCTTGCAGTTCAAACGGACTTTGTAGTCCAGCACATTAACCCACAGCACCACACCAGGACTCTAGAAAGATAGATAGATAGATAGATAGATAGATAGATAGATAGATAGATAGATAGATAGATAGAGATTTAATTCAAGGAGATGGCTCCCCAAGTTGTGGAGGTTGGCAAGTCCCAAATCTGTGAGTAAGGCATCAGCTAGAGGCTTCTCCTGACTCACATGATTTTAGGAGCTGACAAATCCACAATCAGCAAGTCAGATGACAGGCTGTTGGCTCATGGGCCTTTGGACACTGATGAATCCCTTAAGTGGCAGGTCAGAAGGCAGACTTGTAGCTCATGTACCAAAAAGTAGAGGTCAGATGGTGACCAGCTGGGTGCAGGCTGCAGAGCGAGGGAGAGTTTGACCATCCGCACCCTCGGAAGTGCATCAGATAAGGACAGTGACTTGGGTAAGCAAGGTGACTTTGAGACAAAACCTGAGCTCTCTGCCGGCTGCAGGTGTGAGACCAAGAAGACTGCAAGACAGTTTTATTTATTTATTTATTTTTTGGTTAAAAGAAAGGGCCAGCTTTATTGCAATCTTGAGAAAGCAAAGAGACGGGGATCTCTGCCCCCAACTATCTTCCTCAGCAAGGGAACCAAGGGTGTTTTATAGGGCTTCAGGGTATGAACAGGGGGCACACCATCATGTATCAAAGATACAGAAACCTGTCACAAGGCAAGGGCGTGGGTACAACCCACAGGGCTGAGATGCTGAATACTATGTCTTCTTGTGTATAGTTTCCAGTCTCCGTGAGCACTTTGATTCGTTAAGTCCAGGGGTTGTGATTTTAACACCTGGGCCGGGCACCAAACACTCTGACCGTTTTCTTCTTTGCTTATTGCCAAGGGGCTGGGCTTAAACATAGAGACAATTTATAAATATTTATGTCTATTCTTAGCTTCAGATCAGGTTCTTGATTCCAGGGGTAAGAGAAGGATGTACAAGCAAGGAAAAACCGGTGGTAAACTAGTTTATTAACATTCTTATCAACGGAGAACAGATTGAAGTTGTCAAGGACTTCATTCTTTTTGGATCAATTATCAATACTCATGGAAGCAGCAGTCAAGAAATAAATGACGTATTGCATTAGGCAAATCTGCTGCACATGACCTTTTGAAAGTGTTGAAGAGCAAAGATGTCAGTTTGAGGACTAAGGTGCACCT